GATAAATTAAAATCTATTTAAATGTTCCATTGGTTTAATTAAGTTTTTGACTTGATAATTGTGAGGATTCGGACTTGTATACTAGCACATATTAATTTGGGACCATTTGATGTTGTTTAAGAATTTAGGGATTTAATTATCATGTTTTAATTAAATTCTATCCTATTGATCCAATGACCTAAGTAAGCTTTTGACTTGATTCATGTAATGAATAAGTTATGTTATTAACATGCGTTAATTAGGGTTCATTTGATTGAGGTATGAAACTTAGAGAAATTAATTAGGTTATATAATTAATTTCCGTTTCTATTGCATTATTGATTAAATCATGTGTTTAACATTGATATTATGTTTGAAGCATGATTCTAGACTTGTAATGGATTTATGCGATTATGTTTCAATATTGAATTATATTATTATAGCGTGTAACAAATCGCACACTGAAGATTCGACATGTGATGTTATTATAGCGCGTAACGAATCGCGCTCTGAAGATTCGGCATTGTCATCCGATAGTAGTTGTGGATTTAGAGCATGTATTGTGTGGTTTCAACCTACTTGTGCATGGAATGTAGTTTCGTGCTGTGTATATATTTCGTATATAAGTTGTTAACTTATTTATTTTGGAGTCACTTGGGACATGGTTTCTATGACATGGCCAGAGTTTGGCTCTAGTGCGGGAGGTATGAGTTTTCCCCGTCAAGATAGTGCGCACTAGGGGTGGTATTACAAGCGGGTTAGTCCCCGTAATAGCCGTTGAAGTCTTGGCAGAATTCCGAGCTTAGATGTCCAAGTATTCTACTATTTGATTTCGCACTTTTAGATTTCAAGTTGATAACTTTGAGAATCTATATCTAGTTGCTTTGTATAGCATGCATCTATGTTGGTTAAATTGCACAGATATTGTGATTTGCGTTTTATTGTTCAATTGTGATTTAGGAATGATCCTATAAATTCATTTGGAACATAAATGTTAGGTAGCATGACCCACTTTAGTCGTTTACACACTTTTAGATTTCAAGTTGATTACTTTGAGGATCTATGTCTTAACGTGTGATACTAGAAACTCCAATTTATGCTAAATGGTTATATTTAGTTGTTTACACATTTTAGATTTCAAGTTGATGACTTTGAGAATCTATATTTTGTCGTTTTGTATAGCATGCTCCTATATTGTTTGAATTGTATGAATGATGTGTTTTATGCTAGAAATGATCTTAGGTAGCTTAAAATGCTCCATGAGTCTCACCTTTGACATAGACGTTAGGTGGAATGAACCACGATGATTAAATCATGCAAACATGTAAAACGTTAGGTCGATGCATGTTCATTTCTTACGAGTAACTTTATGTTGCTCACCCCAAAGTTACTGGGGCATATTTTAGGTACAGGATACAAGATTGGAGATTTGCACTTGCTTTGGTGATTTGCAGAATTGAAGTTTCTTTAGAAGCATTCTTGTTCACATGCAAGTGTTAGCATGTTTAAGTTTTGCCTATGAAATGTAATTTTTCCAACTTAGAGGTTTGACATGTTAAATGTTGTAAATGAATTGTAATAAGGCTATAAGTCATTTCAGCATGTTTAAAATGTTGTTTTACACTTGCGTGTATGTTCACATCGTCACACACTTACATATAATTAAGTTTGTTCATACAATGGGGGATTCAAGTGAGGCTTAAAGTCTCTTTTTCAGTTTTGGTGTACGTGGTCTAGTTTGAACTAGACTTTGCCCCTTTGGTTGTTATTGGTGCCATAGGGTATCATTTGACCCTTTTCATGTTAGTTTTCGCTTCTGATTATTTCTTTGAGCTCCGTGACTTCATGGAAGGTCACATTGGTGTTTTGGGGATGATTTATATCTCTATAGACTTTGGTTTTTATCTTTCGCTTCCGCATTTCAGATCCGTTATCGGGTCAACTTTCGGTTCATCACTGATGCACCGGGTTGAAAAACTTGGGCTGTGACAAGTCTTCACAATTAGGCTCATAACATTTAATCTAATTTCCTGAAAAATATCATAATTTTTGAAATATTAATAATATTTTTCTCTAATTTCTCTAACATTAAAATACAACAAATATATATATATATATATATATATATATATATATATCATTGTAAGCGAAAACAACTTACAATTGGCCACTGTTTATAACATTCCGATCTCGATCCTATTGTTCAACTATATTAACATAGGATTTATATAAATGTTCATCCAACTAATTAATGTACAAGAATATTCCAAAGCACATATAAAAGTTAAGGTTTTCTAAAATCTTCATTGTTAGACCAACATAAGACCCAAGCTATTCTGGACTCCAACATAGATTACTAGTCCACTAAAACTGATCTTAATTTGTATCCACAAATGAATCCACATTATACTTATACAAATATAAAAAAATATATATACACATATGAACATATAAAGATCAATTTATCTACCAAAGCACAAAAAATACTTAACAAGCCATAATTATCTAACAATTTCAATGACACGATAATTATACATCTATACGCATATCACTTATATATATATATATATATAAATATATATATATATATATATATATATATATATATATATATATATAAATGCTTAATATTAACAAGATGATCTGTATACTATGGAATACAGAAATCAGAATTTAATATTAAAACTTTAAGAAGCAAGTTAGTCGTATATATAAGATTATAAGGCAAGATTAACTTGCCTGGAAACGTTAATCCCTTCTACTATACGAATCTTCGATCACCGACTCTCTTCCCAGAAACTGCAGGCAGATACGCGACGTTAGATCTCACTCACTCTGTATAACCCTATTATCTTTATCTCCCTTCCGATTTATAAAATAACCTAATTTTATATACAAAGCAAAGTAAACTTATAAAGAGTAACAATAACTGGTAGGTGAGATAATTTAGGATCCCTTTTAAAATTTCAAACTTTTTAAAAGGAAACCTATTATCACTAATATTCCTAAAAAAGTCAAATAGATGAAAAATAAATATTCCTAATAAAAAAAAACATGGGTACTGACTTTAGCTACCGGTTCAAGATCCTTTGCCAAGGAAAAAACACCCATTCGATCTCTCTCTCTTCACTCACCACTTCAACCTCCACCATATCCCTCTGCCTCCACAATCCCACCGAAGTGATGAACGCTGAAGTGAAACTCAAAGTCGCTGGAAAGAAGCTCGCCGTCGCCGAAGCTTCTGGATTCAGTAGTTAAAGATTCTTCGGCGGAAGTAGTTCATGAAGTTCAAGGTTCTCTTACCGGAACTAATCTCTCTTGTTAAGACCTCGTCGATCTTCATTTGGAAGCTTGCGTTGGTCACCTTTAAAGTACGCCAGAAAGCATAGTTTGGTGATATCAAAGAGTTATCGCCGGAAGAGAAGTAAACTGTTTTAATTGGTAATTCGGTCATTTAATTGTTTTGATATTTTACTAGGGGTGGTCACGGATCGGATCGGATCGGATTAGGCATCAATCCTAATCCGATCTGCTCGCAATGGATTGGGAGATTTTGAATCCGCCACCAATCCATTAGCTAACAGATCGGATCGGATCGGATCCAGTCCGTGTACTGAATTTTCCAAGTTAGTCTATTTTCACCAATTTCATATCCATTTACAAAGCAATATAAGTATATAACATAGCATAGATGAAACTAATTTAAATGCATAATAGGTGAGGTGGCCGTTTTTCTCTTTGCTCTTCTTTAGTTCTTTGAGTTCTTTCATCTTTGGCTAGGTTTAGGTTTTGATTAAATGAAAAGTCATGATCTGCGGCTACTAATTGAGTAATAAATATTTTTAAACTAATTGTATAATATTTACCAAAAAAGGAAAACAGAAAAAGTAAGGTATGTTAGGAGTTCACACACACATATATATATATATATATATATATATATATATATGCTAGTTACGAAAAAGTAAAGATATTACTATAATATTATATATACTTTTTCGTAACTAGCATATATATATATATATATATATATATATATATATATATATATTATGAATTGGCCACGGATCGGATCGGATTTTTGACAGCCTAATTCGTGGTTCGATCCGTGAACTACGGATTCAATTTTTTTGAATCCACCACTGATCCGTGGGTCTGGCAAGCCAATCCGATCTGTACGGACCGGATCGGATCGAATTTGCGAAATTTTTGCCCGCCCCTATATTTTACAATTAAAATTAATTAAATAATGAACGGATCAGATCGGATCGAATTTGTGAATTTTTTGCCCACCCCTATATTTTACAATTAAAATTAATTAAATAATGAAGGGTAAAATAGACTTTTTACATATTTTTAGGTTCTATTTAGCTTTCAAATTTTTTAAGGGGTGTCATCGTTTAAAAATAAACCAGCTTATATATGGTTGTCTTTGCTGAACTTCAGAAGTGTGATTATACTTTACCCTAAAATAAGAGTAATAAAATAAGTTGAAAAGACACATTTACAAGTACTAATGATCCTAAAGGCTGCTAGCTAAGCACTGGTTTAAGATCGTACCACATCTTGTGCAGGTGTAAGCGATGCAACACATGTAAGTGATCCGTTCATACATAGATTTTATTTTCTTTTTCTTAAAGTATTTCATACATAGTTATAGAGACAAATTGTGGGGAGAAAAAAAAAAAAATTCAATCTAAAAACAGAAATTTAAAATTATAATGAAACGTGGTTGTCATGTGATAGATACCTTCAATATGTTGAATTGGAGATTTATAAAATAGGGCATGAAAAAGGATATTGCAAAATAAAATCATGAGGACTGAAATTGAAAAATACTTTGTCATAAAATATTAGATTATTGAAAAACAATAAGTTCAAAAAAATAAATCTAATAAAGAGGTAGATGTTGGTTATTATTTATAAAAAAATGTGTGTGTGTATATATATATTCACACTCTTTAAAGTGTTTAGTTCATTGCACACTAATTGGTTATAAAAATTGATTGATATCTAATACTATGTGATATCACAAAAACAAAAAGGAAAAATTGGATACACAAGTCACGCCCCTGGAGACAGAGCAAAGACCAAGAGATCCACGTGCCTATTTTCCCAGACCTAGGGTTACATCCCCCAAGCCAGAGCAAGAAAAAGCCGCCACGCAGTTTCTTCCTTTCAAATGGAGGCTCACAGCCCCTACCTGTCTGTTTTAGCTTCGGCGATTCGGATTTGGCTCTTTCTTAAACGAAACAAATTTTCTTAATTTTTTCTGTAGTCACTCATTTCTTTGTTTGGATCACAGAAAGAGAGAAATAGAGATGGAAATTGAAAACTCAATTTCCTTATTATTCTTGCTATCACAGGGAATCAAAGGATATGAGGCGTCCTCGCAGCCTCGACCAACAGATGACTCACTCGCGTCCCTTGATTCTCCGTGATAAGAAAGAGGTAATTTGATGATAGATTTCATTTTATATGAAGTTTTGTACTTAAATTTTGGTCTTTGCACACCCAATCTTGTGTTTGGAGCAATGGGAATTTTGATGGGTTTAAAATGGAATTTATGGTAATGCAGTAATAATTATTATTTAAAACTCTCTTGAAGATTAGTTGATTTCATGGTATTTGATAATTACTAATAAGTAGTAGTAGACTTATGCCCAACTCTGCTCCTCTTTTATTTTTCTAAATTCCAAACTATTCCAAATGCAAAAATGATATTTCATTTTCTTTTCCAAAATTTTTAGTTTTCGCTGTTTTGCTTTTCAGATATCCATCGAGGATGGTTCAGTGTATGTTCGTCTTAAATGCCAGCTTTTGTTGCACAAATTATGCGCTGAATTGTCACCAAAGATCAAACACCCCTTTCATCCAACGTATCCTCTTGTGCTCCGCAATATCAATATGGAATGTTTTGTTTTGGGGTTCAATTACTGGTGTGCCAAGTGCGATACTCTACTTTCAAATTTGAACTTCACCAGCAGTCTCTTGCTTTATTCAACCAGAACAAGTGTAACAAGGCTAGCAGAATTGAGTGCATTCGTACACGGATACATTCCCCTTATTCCGTTGTGTGCCATGCGATTTCACTCTAATGTTGTCATCCCACATTACCACATACATTTAAACATAGTTGCCATGACCAACATCCACTCACCCTCACTCGCTCTCCCATCAAAGACCATTCAGACGACGATGATAGCTGGGAATATTACTGTGACCTTTGCGAGGAAAGAAGATACCTGCAAGATCCAATTTATTATTGTGAGGAATGCCACTATGTTACTCATATTAGTTGCGTGTTTGATGAGGTACACACTACTTTTCAGCTATTTGACGGGACATAGATTGCTTACTATTTGATTCCATTTCATGAGTTTTTTTACTCCAGTTTTGGTTTTTGCACGCTCCACCGTTGTGTTTGGAACAGTGGGATTTCGATGGTTTTAAAATGGAATTTATAGTAATAATAAATATTGTTCAAAAGTCTCATGAAAATTAATCGATTTCATTGTATTTAAAAATTACCAAGTAGACCTTGCAATATCTCCAACTCTGTTTGTCTTTTAGTTTTTTAAATTTCAAACTATTGCAAATGAATAAATGAGATTTCATTTGATTTTCTTTTCTTTTCTGAAATCCCAATCCTAAAAAGATTTGGTTCTACCGTCTTGGATTTTTTGTTTGCAAATAGGTTTTTAGATGATTAAACTTTAGAACACTTCTAGAATTTGTTTTTTAATTTTTTTTAAATGCATTGTTGGTGGAAAAAACGTATTTACATAGGCATCCGTAATATGCCAAATATGTAAAATGATTTAGAAAAGCTATTCAACCCATATACTACTTTATAAGTGGGAGTGTGGGGGATGCATTGTTGGTGGAAAAAACGTATTTACATAGGCATCCGTAATATGCCAAATATGTAAAATGATTTAGAAAAGCTATTCAACCCATATACTACTTTATAAGTGGGAGTGTAGGGGATGCATTGCTTTTTGTAATATGTTGCCTACAAAAAAATATAAATATGGTTGGATAATCCACTTAATATTAACTAGATGATGTGATATCTTATTGACAGATTTCTATGTCTAGTAAAACGTCTCCTAGAGATGGGGTATTTAATTTTAGAAAAAAAAATATGATTAGATACTTTTAAAATGCTTGTTGTGAATGAATAATCATTAAATAGAAGCCCATTATATAAATTTATTGGCATTCATCCTCATAAGATGGTTCTCACGTCTCTTATGTTAAAAAAAATTGTTACTTAAAAATGTAATAGAGTCAAACTCTTTATCTTTTGGTTGCATGTCAGATTCTTCCATTACTAAAGTGGTCCTTGGCACAAGATGTAGAGATTGTAATGCTTCAAGCAGAGATAGATGCACTTACTGCAAAATCAGGGATACTAATAACAAATTTGTATGAACTTAAGGAGAAACATGCGCAACATATTAGTGACTACCAAGTTGGTAAGTTGTTTTGTACTTCTTGTTTTTTTTATAAAAAAAAAGAAAAGAAAAGAAATTATAATATTTATTATTAGGCTAGTGAAGTGTGATTAATGTTTAACATGGTGATATGAGAATGGTCCTTTGCTAGTAGACTTGATGATAAAAATGATGTAGGGGTAACGGAAGTGTTGATTAAAAATGCGTTTTTAAGTGCCACAAGAGATGATCCTGCCATTGCTAAAGCAAATGAAGAGACTATAATGCTTCAAGCAGAGGTAGATGCACTGACAGCAAAATTAGAGACAATAACAACAAAATTAGATGAACTTATGGAGAAACGTGTGCAACATATAAGTGACTACCAAGTTGGTAAGTTGTTTTGTACTCGGTTGTATTAAAAATAGTTGTCATGTTTATTATTGGGCATTTGAAGCGTGATTAATATCTAGCATGATGATTTGAGAATTGTCCTTAGTTAGAGTATACTTGATGATAAGAATGATGCAGGGGTAATGGAAGTGGAGATTAAATTTGCATCAACATCTGCAATTGCTAGAGCAGAAGAAGAGATTATAGTGTTTCAAGCAGAGGTAGATGCAGTGACAGCAAAATTACAGACAGTAACAACAAAATTGGATGAACATAAGGAGAGACATAATGGTCTTTTACTGTATATGTGGTGATCAATAAACATAAATGACCTAGAAGAGAAATGGAGTGCAGACTTTTCCAGTTAACCATAAATTCGGCAAACGACCTAGAGAACGTCCGAGAAATATTCGACATGAAGGTCTATGCAAAGGTTTCGACATGAAGGTCTATGCAAAGGTTTCTATAGGTGAATCCACAGTGTGATGTGAAGACGTTATGGTGATCATAAAGTTGTACTGTGAGCGTACTTTAGGAGACCGGTATATCGGCGAGGTGAGCACGTCCATCAAACAACTCTTCGACCACGCGCAGCTGTTGGGAGGCAGTGCTGATGTCAGTTTTCCGGTGAAAAAGGGTGGTGAAGACTTGCAGGGAATGCTGAAGTTTGCTTACAGCTTTGGAGAGACGGTGGTTGTTGAGAAAACCCCGGGATGGAAGAAATTTTTGAAGAATGGAGCTGTTATAGTGTTGCAGGTGGCTCTTGAGGCTACTTTGGGAATAGAATTTGAAATTCCAATTTTCAATGATGATATTGATCTTTGTTAAACTACCACCTCACTACTAATTCTAGTTGGGTTGGTAGGATCCCTTCAATTCTCGAAAAAAGAAAAAAGGGAGATTTTTAGTGTGTGTTTTTTTAGTTTGTTTTAATATCTATATATATATATATAAATAAATTAAATAAGGTGCAATTGCATTTAGTCTATTAGGTTTACTTGTAAAATGTTGTTAATTTCGGGTGATCAGAGTTATGCTGTTGAAATGTTTGTAGTTATGGGAGGTATGTATTTTAGTTAAATTGATTTACTAGAGCAGGAGATTTGCCGGCTCACTCGTTAGTAGATCTCTTTACTCACTCATGATGTGATTCAATCACAATTACAAATGCATAAATAGTCTGTAATTATAAAACTAGTAAAGTGATAAATAAGGATAATAACTTTTTTTAGAATAAATTCAGTTATCTCTTATTTCCTTATTTATTACTTTTCTGGTGACTATACGTGTATTTATAATTGGATAACATAATAATCACCTACTCATCGGCACCGATGAGTAGACATATCTTTTCGTTTACTAAAACACTCTATCAATTTTTTTATGGACAAGGTTTTAGAAATTGAAACTGAACCTAAAGTGCAATTTTTTAATAAGAAAATAACGCACTTATTATATCATTGTACACTCAAAACACTAAACCATTCATTTGAAAAGATTAGTTGATACCACTCGAGCTTACTCTTGATTAATTTTTTATTTTATTTTTTTTCTGATTTTCTTGAGGTTCATGGATGTGGTAACAATTAAATTTTTTTTTTTTAATTTGGACCAAATAATGCACTCAAAAGGCTGGTTTTAAGAAATTCAATCCGAATATAGGGATGTGAGTGGGGGGAAATTTTCCCTCCAACAAAAACAAAGCACGACACGTCATCAAGTAGGGACCACAACCAAATAATCCACTGAGCCAAACGAGTGGAAAAGCATAAGTCCATAATAGAGAGCCTAATTCCGAAGCCCAACAGAAGACACACCTAAGAAAAGGGCTACACATCTTGGATCAAGGCCCAATATATACCACACAAGAGGTCTGGCACACTTCTACAATCCGAATCCTCTATGCGGAAAGAGTTGCAATATAATAGCAATTCATTTAAAGGGATGAGCAAATTCTGTAATTGCTATTCTTATTTCCTTATTATTTCTTTGAGTGTGTTGCTGGCATCGTCGGTGGGAAACGGCATAAGTTGTGACATCGTTCCGGGATGGCAACCCCCGGGTCCGAATCCGAATAATCCCATTCCGCAACCAGGGCACTCGGGTAGCAACCGAACCACAACGCACCCCAAGTCGTCCTTGACCAACCAAACACAAAGAATGCAGAGCAGGTAGAAGACCAGCCTCATGTTACAGCAGGTTCAGTACTAGGTAATCTCCAGCAAAATTAGAGTTGTATCTTGTAAGACCAAGCCGAGTCGAGTAGGAGAAACACATGGAGGGCCGAGGGCAATAATTTGATCGGAGGTCCTTCAGAACCAAGAGGTTATAGCACACGTTCGCAGGGAGATGGACGAGCAGATCAAGGACTTGAAAGTCCAAACCCTCGAGGATATGGCAATGGAGATCACTCCTTCCATAGTGGGAACCCCTTTTACTGATGAGATTGAGCAAGTGGAAAGGCAGAGGAAGTTCTCGATGCCGCCGTTCATCCAGTTTGATGGGAACAGGTCTCCGACCCACCACTTACAGCACTATATTCAGAAGATGATTATGGATACACACAACAACCGACTTATGTGCAAAATATTTCCCACCAGTCTAACAGGGTAGCTAGTGGTTCAGAAATAGGCCTAATAAATTAATTCCAGACTTCGAAGCATTGTGCTCAGTTTTCTTAGCTCAATATTATGGTAATAAAAAGCAGAAGAAAATTGTTTCTAGGGAGAAAAATTGAAGGCGTTGATCACCAAGTTTAATATGGAATCCTAAGGAATTTCCAAATGCAATCAAACTATAACAGTAGAAGCATTTAAGATAGGAATGATCCAAGGGACCATGTTTCACGCCTCTTTAATTAAGAAACTTCCGCCGGATATGTCTATATTAAATCCTCGCCCAAAAATCAGGGATATTAAACAATAAATATTTTAAAATAAGCACATAGTACAAAATAAAATATAAATAAATAAATATACGTTGAAATGAAAACTAAACAAAAAAAATAATTAAACTCAATAAATATTCCCATAATAATGATCCTCCCTGAGTAACCTTAAATAAAATCCTTCAACGTACAACTCGGGAATTCAAAAAACATGGACCCCTAAACAAAACCCAAAACTGAATTAATAATGTCTAAACAATAAATAAAAACATGAATCCCTAAAAAAAAAGAAGTGAATCAGAACCACAAACAAGTTCTTTTTAGTACAACCCAATCAGAGAACCAATAAACACAACCCAATCAGAAAACCTATAAACGATACATTAATTCCCAGCCAAACTCATACAATATCTACATCGTCTATATATATATATATATATATATATATACATACACACTAAAGACTCTCACTGGACTATAGGCCAATCTTAACCTAGTAGTGAGTATCTCATGAAAAATCGCACATGAGGTAGTCACGAGTCCTCCTTCTACCCGGGCACATACATCTCCTATATCTAGTTACCCATCTTCACCTGTAATTTATGCCTCAGCCCTAACTATTGATTCCAAGACCTCAAACTCATATCACGACACACATAAATATATATATATATATATATATAGCCATATTCTGACTATGACATACCAAACATATACTACCGTAACCATATCCTGACAATGGCACGACAACATATAAAATATTGTAACTATATCCTGACAATGGCATAATAAAATGTCATAGCCATATATTGACAATGACACAACAAAGAGTGAATCTAAACTTATTAGCTAGCTCACCCATAAAACATATATCACACAACCATATTGATGAGCGCTGAATATTGCATATTTGAGCACCTTAATATACATATGTTAAGACCTTAAGTAGTACTTCTATCTAGTTTTAGACTGATTTATGTTTACTTCGTGTTTGTAGGTACTTTCCTAAAGAAACAGTTAAATTCGAAATTTTAAGATGAAAAGACTGATATTGAAGCTTACAGAATCATTGCCGATCATTTGAAGTAAACTTGGAGTCAAAACGATGATTTTGGAGAAGTTCAATACCAAAGCTCGAGCAAAAGTTCCTTGGCTCCAGCACAAAGTCAATAGAAGCAAGAAATTCAACCAAGGCCAAAAAGCTTAAGCACAGAACTCTCTGCTCGAACAGAACCTCAAGGTGCTCGAGCCTTTGCAAAAGTACTCGAGCAGAATATGCCTCAGAATATGAAAAGATGCTATGGAAGTTCCATGTTGCCAGGACCTCGAGCAGAAGTCAAAAAACTAGAGCCTTTACCCAAAAGCTTGAGTCGAAGTCCTAAGGCTCGAGCACCAAGCTAGCCAAGGTGATCGAGCTCCCTGAAGAAGAAGTCTTAAAATATTCTAAGTGTTGATAATAAAGACGTTTCGGAAAATAATTGAAGAAATTTGGCTAAGTATAGAAGCTTCTCTGGCCGAGCCTTTGTTGTTAAGTCAGAATTTTAAGTTGCGGGATTTATTCTAATTATGTCATAATTCATCCTAGATGGGCCCAGATGACCCCAGAAGACCTAAATCTTATCTAAGCCTTATTAGAAGTCAGTTATTCTATAAAAGGAGGCATAAGGCCAGAGTTCAACTTTTAGTTTTTTTTGTCTGTTTTTCTCTCTTAGATCTAATGGCGGCTTTAAGGGTTTCTGTAGTTATTTTTGGTGATATTGAAGGTGAAGATCCTCAAAAGAGAAGTGCAGTCCATGATGATGAAGACCACAACAACATAGATGATATCTTGCATTGTCATAAGTAGCTAATTCCTCTCTTATTAATGTAACCCGAATCCGAGTATTATGGTTTGATTGTTCTAACTTTGGGAATTTAATAGTTTATGTATATTGATTGCATGATTATGAGTAATTGACTTAGATCAATTGGTGTTTTAATAAAATAATGGTTTTTGAATCTTGTCTTAGATTTAATTGTTCTTAAATTGTTTTCAACCTATTTTTATTGCACGAGATTGGCAGCATAAGGGCCTCTCAACAATAAGAATAGAGATCATGCAATGGTGTTCTAATGTTTTTCATGAATGAAGATTTTAATAAGCTATGCCTAGGGAAGACGAGTTATACTACGACATTAGTTAGAAGTAGGTAGGTAAATAATTCGTGTTAATTGAAGATAGGTTATTGTTAGTTGAAATTCATGAAACATCTTTCTTTAAACTTGAATAAAATGAATGTTATTGAGTTTAATTCCATATGATTCATAAATTGTTAAAATTCTAAGGTTGAACAATTGACCATAGTACGAGGTTCGTGGTAAAGTCAAACCCTAAGATTCTCTCTCTTTGATCTTATCCTTTATTTTAGTTTAAATTTATTTTATGTTCGTGACAAATAAACAAATCAAACAATCAATTTTCTCTGAATCAAAATAGTATTAATTGAATGTTTAAATAAACTACGACAGTCTCTATGGATCGACACCCTCAATATAACCCTATCCTACAAGGATTCGTACTATTGCTGGCATTTTACTATTGGTATAATTTGATACAGATCAATTTTTGGCACCGTTGCTAGGGAGATTGTGTAACGGTTTATTGAGTTTACAATTAGTTCTGTTCTGATTTATAATTCTTCGGACTTTTTGATATCTCATCTTATTTTTTTTTCTTTTCAAGTGTAGGAATCTAGCAGTGAGGACAAAGACCCTTAAGGAAAAGAAGCTTCAGTTTCAGGACCTTTTATGAGTTCTTGTTGTTTTCTTTACTTGGAATGTTTATTTTTGTTACTGGTAGTGCAATTGGGCATAATGCATGTTAGGTTGCCATTCTTTATCAGAACCAATACTTGAATACAACCCTAAGTTAGGGGCCTAAAAATAATTCTAACTTGTTAGGAGAATTCTCTAGGAAAAACATGGCTGATGATATTAATGCACCACTAGGAGAACGTGTGCCAGTGACACCTGTTCCACCACCACCACAATTGAGGGATCATTACATTCCTACATCATATACATCCTCTTCGTGCTTTCAATTTCCACAGTCTGATGCTACCCACTTTGAGATCAAGCCCGCTATGATCCAAATGCTTCCTACATTCCATGGGTTTGCAACAGAAGATCCTTATAAGCACTTAGATGTGTTTCTGAAATTGTATTCAACTACCAAGTTGTCCACTCTTTCAGATG